GCCGATGCCTCCGTCGCCTGGCTGGAGTGGCCGCGGGGGAGTCTGGAGTCGGGCGGCCGCTGGTGGGAGCCGCGGGTGCCCGGGCCGAGATTGGGGGGGCAAGGCGGGCGACAGAAGGCCGATGCCTCCGTCGCCCGGCCCTCTACAGAATCCACCCCCCAAACCTCCAGGTATTTCCCTCCTTAGAGCTGGCAACCCTACATTCCCCTCAGTGCCTGTTGGTAGGCAACTAAGCTTGGTCCTGTCACCTACTTTGGCCTTTGGGAGAAAACACATTGGGGCCAGTCCTGATAGGGTTGCCAACTCCAGATGGGAAATTCCTGGAGACTTGAGGGATGGAGCCTGAAGAGGGTGAGGTTTGAGGAGGGGTGGGACCTCAGACAGGTACACTGCCATAGACTCCACCCTCCAAACCAGTCAGTCTCACATAGGGAACCATTGTTGCCAATCTCCAGGTGAGGGCTGGAGAGCACTCAGTATTACAACTGCTCTGCAGAAGGGAGGGCAGAAGTCAGCTGAAGTCAAAGGGGCAGATAATGGTAGGTTGGTGACTAGCTCGGAAGGAGATGGGGTTGCCAACTACATGCTGACAAATTCCTGGGGATTTGAGGGGTGGAGCCTGGAGAGGGTGGGGTTTGCAGAGGGATGGGACCTCAGACAGGTAGAATGCCATAGACTACACCCTCCAAACCAGCCATTTTGTCCTGGGTAACAATTGTTGCCAATCTCCAGGTGAGGGCTACAGATTACTCACAATTACAACTGCTCTTCAGGTAGCAGAGATCAGTTCCTCTGGAGAAAACAGTGGACTCTGTCATTATACCCTGCTGAGGTCACCACAGCAAATTGACACTGTTTGCCCAAAGCCAGAGCACTGCCCCAGAGCCTCTTTCTAGATCCCGTTGTATTGCTTTCACAACGGGCTTTACTGCTAGTTATTCATATTTCAGAAGGTGAAAAAGTGAGATGGGGAGAGAAGTAAAACACAAAAAGGGCTTTCTAAAGCTTGATGCAACTTCAGCATCTTCCTCACTGCTGTGTGGATAATAGTTTCACAGCATGGATGAATGTAACAGCAGTATTCCACAGTGAGACATCCACATTTAATGAATGAATTCTAGATAACCGAGTTATTTCCAAGTCAGCAAGAGCCCATTCACACCTCGATGCTTCTGTATTATAAGCTAGGATGTGGATCAGGGAAGTTATGTATTAAAGCATTCTCTGACTCTGGAAACATACCTGTGCTGCAGAAGCAACCCCTAGTGGCATGGGAGTGATGGAGATGGCATTCACATGCCCTCATCTCATGCAACTCACTGCAGACACCATTCCCCCCCCTTTTTTGTCATGTTGGCACAGAAGCACTGACATGGCAATTGTGCTGGGCCTCTTTCCCACTTTCCAGATAAACTGAAGTGCAAAGCTGTACCATGGCACAGTTGTGAATATGGGGGGAAAGCTCACTGAAGGGCTAAAAGTGGAGGGGAGGTGATGCAGAGCTAAGAGTTTAGCTACTTCTGGTCCTCAGATAGTCTACAGGAGGAGCATCCACACAGATGATCTGCCCACAGCTGCTCTTCGCTTCCTTCCTTTGAACCAAATCAAGGGAGATTTTCCTTTGATCTGGCTCATAGATGGAAGCCTCAGGAGGTCCACAAGTTGTGCTAGGAATGTGTGTTATGTGGACGCTCCTCAAAACAATTTAAGCTTGCATAATATGACTATATGTTGACATTTTTTTGACCTGCATGACAGGATGTACTTGCACAAGAATGTCTCTAGCACTATCAATTGGTCCTATTGAACAATGCATTAGTGGCATTACAGCCACTGAAAACAGTTGAGTGGGGTCATATGAGGCTGGCATTTCGGTTTTAAACACCAAACCACTGAGTTTGGCTTACTTGGAACTCTGAGTCATTGTTTGTGAACATGATGCCCATGTGTTAATGGCATCAGTCTTGAGTCACCAGCTTAAGACAATAACATGATACTGATGGACCTTAATATCACATTACACTTTTCCTCATGAATATGGGGATGGATTCTGGTAACATCCATGGAAATTAATTTTGGATGCCACATAGCCAAAAGATTAGGCCTCTACTGGCTCCACAATGATCCCAGAAATGCTGACTTCTAGGAATATACCTTTGGTCAGCTTCTTTCCTTATGCAATCATGGCTGTCCCACCATAATGCATTTTTAATGGAACATTATTACTGTAGATTTTCAAGGAATGAGAAACTACCCAATTTAGTTGTGGTATCTTTAAAATCACTGTATGCTTTTTCTTTCACAGAACCCTGAAGGTGGCCTCTATGTAGCATTCACAACCTTAGCAGGTCTCAGTGGCGTTATCATTACCCTGTGTCTAATATTAATAATCACATCATCTACTAAAACCATTCGAAGGTCATACTTTGAAGTATTTTGGTTCACCCACCATCTTTTTGTTATATTTTTTGCTGGTCTTGTCATACATGGTGCTGGGTAAGTATTCATACAGTGAATACAGCTCCAGGGTCCTTAATGGGAACTATGCAATAATCTCTTTATTAGGACCAACTAAAAGTCACAAAACAATGAGCTAGCTTTTGAGATTTACTGAACTCTTTCATAGGCTCAGTACTAAATAAAACCAAGGCTATGGTTTTTAGCAGACATTGCTCTTAGATGGCACAGTAAATCTTTGTCTACAGTAAATTATACTCTTCAAATGATAATTTAGGATGTGCAGACTAATCATGTTACTTTGTGTCCAGAGCAAAAGATGGTAGGTTGCACTAAAGCATGCTTGGTCAAGGAAGCAGTGGTCAAAGAAGCACTTTTGTCTCACTGTACTCTGCTGCCACCTAGAATAGTTCATGTGTTGTGTATGTGCTGTCAAGTTGCTTTGGGCTTATGGTAACCCTATGAGTTAATGACCTCCAAAACATCCTGCCATTAACAACCTTGCTCAGGTCTTGCAAGCTGAAGGCCATGGCTTCCGAGAATAGTTTATAGTGAGCAAGCCTGCTTGCAAAAAACACTTTGGATCACCATCTTAAGACTGTAACATATTTTGGATGAGGCTTCTATCATGTTCCCTAAGATTAACACATCTACCCACCCATTTCTTTTTGTTAACAATAACCTTCTTCACAAGTTACAATGACTGCATGTACCAACTGTGTACAGTGTACTCTTAATTTTTCTGTATACATGTGTTGAGTAATTCTCATGTTACATTCAAAGCATCTACAGAAGAATGGGTGATATAAACCCAACACTGATCCAGGAACTGGTCTCCAGTTTCATTAGTAAAGTGAACACATGTCTGCTCTTTCTTACAAATAGATGTATGCATGTACATATGTTCACTGTATTATGTGAATGGGGTCTGTAGAGTCCAAGGAAGAGTTGTATGAAATTTGCATGTTAGATCAACACTTTGTGATTCTTTTAGCTGATCCTAATACAAGCATTATGATTTCATTCCAATCTTTACTCATTTAAATAAGTATTTTCAAACTCTGTGGTTAGTTTTCACAAATTCCCTTTCCTCTGCTTTACTTGCTACCAGAGAGAAGAATGAAAAGGGGTATGTTTAGGCACTGAAAGAAATGTGGACGGGGAGGGAAACAGCCTGTCAGAATCATAGGGGGAAATGAGAAAATAAATTATCTTTCAAATTGCCTAGAAGATAGCCTGGAAACTGGTTGAGCCTGCAGGCCAGCCTTTCATAAGCAGATGGATATAATTTATTTATTTATTTATTTTTATCTTTGGATTTATATCCCGCCCTACTCCGAAGGCAATTGATCCACTGACGTATGAACAGAAATGTAGATGCACGTAATGCTTTTCCACTTGTGCAAGGAATGATGACTAAAATGGCTATGTTAGAGATCACAGGAATGGGACCTGCATGGACAAAAGCCAAGAGGGATGGGGGCTGTAATGGGGGCAGCAATTGTCCAAGACTGACCAAAAGAACTGGCTGAATCCAACACTATCTCTGCAAACGACTAAAGCTTCTTACAGAGACTGTTCTGGAATGGCAAAAATGGTCAGTGTGGAAATTAGGTATTGGCTTTCTTGAAGATATACATTACAGAAGCTAAAACAAGCATTCCCTGTGTGCAATAGATGAAGACAGTAGTTTTATGAGATCTAATTGCTATTACTTTGTGGTTATTATAAATGATTAATTTTATTTACACCTTATTGACACTTCCTATTTACTCCTAGACAAATTGTACGTGGTCAGATAAAGACTAGTTCGAAAGAGCATAACCCAATCGTTTGTGCCAAGCAGTTCACTCAGTGGGGGAAAACACCTGAGTGCCCGATACCACAGTTTTCTGGAAATCCTCCTATGGTATGATATTTTTAGAAATACATCAATTAAATACAATTGTTGAATATCTTAATTTTTGCATCAAAGAACAAAGGGCTGAACTTATACCAGAAACTTGCAATGCAACCCGAAGAAAAGTTACATTCTTCTATGTCCATTGAAGTCCATGGGTTTAGAATGGTGTAGCTCTGCTCAGGATGGTTCTGTGATAGTCCCACCAGATCAAGACTTATGTTGTGCTCTTTCCACTAACTAATAAGTGTGTATTGAATGTGTAGTAACAGAAAAAGAAATATATTATAGGTCTGTGTCTGGAAAATAACTAAACCAACGGCAAAGTTCCTCTTTACCAGGAACAGACTTTAGAAAGTAACCCATGAATAAAGTAATTTCCTAAACAGATTTTTAAAAATACCCACAAAAGAAAAAGTTGTGTTCTGAACACAGGATGTGGTGTAATGTGCTCTATATTGTTTTGTGAAGGACAGAAGTTTGTTGGACCTAATTTTTTTGTGCGTGTGTGTATACACACACTCCCTCTCACACACACAACCATAAGGATGTTTAACAGAATTTTATTCCTGCATACTCTTTACCTTTTTCCTTGCTTGTATATTGTTTTTCTTTCTTTGACAGACATGGAAATGGGTAGTGGGTCCAATGATTCTATACCTCTGTGAGAGGTTGGTGCGGTTTTGGCGGTCGCAACAAAAAGTTGTCATTACAAAGGTATGCATCACAAAAGGGGTGGGTTTTTTTACATCTCTTACCTCCCTTGAAAAATTTCTCTAATGTGAGGACAGATTCTGAAAAAGGAGTGCTGCTTAAATAAGCAGCATACAGAATCCTTAGGGGTAGGGAAC